ATCTTTGCTATATAATTCTATGTATAAATTTGATAACCTGTTGTGACCCCTCCCTACCTGGGGGAGGGGGGGTCATGATTTGAAAAAAATATGAATCTACACTACCTGAGGATGCTTCTATATTAATACGAGTCATCATGACTTTCTTGCTTTTGAGAAGGGGGGGAGGGGTCATGATTTGAACAAAATTGAATCTACACTACCTGAGGATGCTTCCATGTAAATATGACCAAGCATGGCTTTGCTTTTCCTAAGAAGAAGATTTTTAAAGATTTTTTCTATGTATTCCTATGTAAAAATTTGATAGCTCATTGTGGCCCCACCCTACCCCTGGGGGTCATGATCTGAACAAACTTGAATAAACATTACCTGAGAATGCTTCCACCGAAGTTTCATCTTTCCTGGCCCAGTGGTTCTTGAGAAAAAGATTTTTAAAAGATGCCATAAATTTTTCACTTATTCATAATTATCTCCCCTTGGAAAAAGGCATGGCCCTTCATTTGAACAAATATAAATTCCCTTTACCCAAGGATATTTTTTGGCAAGTTTGGTTGAAATTGGCCCAGTGGTTCTGGAGAAGAAGATGAAATTAAGATGAAATTGTAACAAGAGGCCCATGGGCCACATTGCTCACCCGAGCACATTGGCTAGAAAAAAGCAGAAATCAGTTTAGTATTGAAAAGATTGAAATATATAAGTGATTACAAATACCCCCCTCCCCAGGGAAAGGGGGACATGATTTATTCACACTTAAATCTACACTAACTGAGGATGCTTTCATATTTCTTTGACTAATCAATGCTTTTTTCTATATGTTTGATCTTTTATTGTGGCCCCTCCCTACCCCCAGGGGACATGATTTGAACAAATTTGAACATACCTTACCTGAGGATGCTTCTGAATTATTACGACTAATCATTGATTTGCTATTCTTGAGAAGAAGATTTTTAACGATTTCTCCTATGTATTCTCATGTTAAACTTTGATCAACAATTATGGCCCCTCCCTACCCCTGGAGGTCATGATTTGAACAATCTTGAATGTAAACTACCCAATGATGCTTCCATTTAAACATGTCTAATCACTTTCCTATTCCTGAGAAGAGGATTTTTAAAGATTTTACATATGTATGTACCTACTGAAAAATCTGATCGCCCATTTGTGGCCCCTCCCAACCCCTGGAGTCATGATTTGAACAAACTTGAATTTACACTACTTGAGGATGCTTCAGTATAAATATGACCAATCATAGCTTTGCTGTTCTTGAGAATGAGATTTTTAAAGATTTTTCCTATATATTTCCATGTTAAAATTTGTTCACTCATTGTGACCCCAACCTAGCCCTGGTGATCATGATTTGAACAAACTTGAATCTACACTACTTGAGGATGCTTCCATATAAATATGACTAATCATGGCTTTGCTTTTCTTGAGATGATTTTTAAAGATTTTTCCTATGTATTCCTATATTCCTATGTAAAACTATTATTGCCCATTGTGGCCCCACCCCTATGTAAAAATTTGATCGCCCATTGTGGCCCCACCCCTACCCCTGGGGGGTCATGATTTGAACAAATTTGAATCTACACTACTTGATGATGCTTCCATATAAATATCACCAATCATGGCTTTATTGTTGTTGAGAAGAAGATTTTAAAGAATTTTTCCTATGATTTCCTATGTAAAAATTTTATTGCCCATTGTGGCCCCACCCTACCCCTAGGGGTCATGATTTGAACAAATTTGAATCTCAAATTTTTTTAACTTGAATCCCCTTTACCCAAGGATACTCTGTGCCAAGTTTGGTTGAAATTGGCCCAGTGGTTCTGGAGAAGATGAAAATGTGAAAAGTTTACGACAATGATGACGACAACGACAGACAACGGACAAATTTTGATCAGAAAAGCTCACTTGAACCTTCGGCTCAGGTGAGCTAAAACGTTTACGATGACGACAACGATGACAACAACTACAACAACGACAGACAACGGACAAATTTTAATCAGAAAAGCTCACTTGAACCTTCGGCTCAGGTGAGCTAAAACATTTACGATGACGACAATGACGACAACAACTACAACAACGACAGACAAAGAACAAATTTTAATCAGAAAAGCTCACTTGAGCCTTCGGCACAGGTGAACTAAAAAAAATCCCAGTGAGTAAGGTATGACTTTCAGAATCTTGACAAACTCAAAAATTACACCCCACAGGATCAAATACTACTAAGATTAATAGAAATGAACAAAAAATTCAAATTTTCTTACTCCCATAAATGATTTCCACCTTGACCCAAGGTCAACCTTTATATATGAAAGGGCAAGAAGGAAGCCCTATCTTTAGCTTTAATTTCTGAACATTTGATCCCAGTAAGCTACAAACTACCCCTTAGATTTTAAATAAAATTGATGTACTGCATGACCATGCATACATGTATAATGAATTTCTTCAATCAATTTCTGCTTAAATTCATTTGTTAGCTTTATGTTATTGATTTATACTGAAAATAAATCCTTTAATTACACATCATGTCATATTATATTGCATTTTTTGTTTGACATCTTTCACTGATGTTTGTAATTAGAAAGTAAAATTCCAATCTCGATACAACTAAACCTGATGCATTTCAATTCACACTTCACATTTTCAAAGCACAAGAAAGGAAAGCAAAATACCCCTGTGGGTTTACACAAATATTAAAAACAGATTTGTCAGAACATGAAATGAAATTGCATAAATATGATTTAATTCTCTTTGTAAATAAAGGCAGTGGAAGACAAATAGAAACCTCAGAATGAGCATAAAACATGAAGCAATCACTGTATATGAATGTTTGATTTCCTCTTTAAACTGCTTGACATGCTTGTCAAAAAGTATATCATAAAACAACATATATCATACGTGTATATATCACAGATTTTTCTTATCTATTATTAAATATTTGCACATGAAATCCATTCTGAATAAATTCACCAATCTTATTGGGGTGAGCTTACAGTAAAAGGGACATAACTTGTGTACAACTACTGGTTTTAAATATTGATCCATGCCAAAGACAGCTGGCTAGTTTCTGAACCATATGATCAAAATGCTATAAAAACAATCTGTTAATTTTTAATGCTATATCTCTCTTAAATCTGTAGATTCTTAAATTCTGAAAGTGTAATGTTTTAAAACATTTTAATCTTAGATTTCATCAATTATGAATTAATATGGGATTATACTTTCTCTGTAAAATGCAATTCTTGAGGTAAAATAAAAATGTCTTTGTTTTTTTTTATAAACAGTACGGATCATGTATTATTAGTTGCTTATCAGTTTATCTGAAATGTCAATTTCTATCGATTAAGAATTCATATTATTAGCAGTAGTTCAAAAATAATCTGGAAATGGAATGGAAGTATATATCTTGATCAGTCCTATCTCTGAGTGGCTGTCACATGTACTTAGCGATCTGGCTATGCCCTGCATGATGAGTTTACTGTGAATTCTTACTTTAATCCTTATGTGTATTTATCTCAATCTACTTCTAACCATGTAGTACGCGTAAAAGAAGGATTTTTAGTACTAGAATTGTACCATTTGTTGAATTTTACCATTTTATTGGTTATACAATTCTAATATTATACTTCATGGCTAAAGATATGTACAGTGTATCTTAATTAATACTTTATTTCAAAGTTGCTATGGCCTTGTAAACTGACATTGGTCTATTGATGTCAAGATGCACCCTCTGGTCAAAAACCTATATTCGTGGAGTGACCTTGACATATGACAACCTTTTACAGGTTATGGTAACAGGGATTTTTGTTTTGAGTCTTTATAGTCTGTTGAAATTTGAAAATTTCACAAAATTTTCAACAAAATTTAATTTACTGTGTATAAATTTTGTTTAGGATCCTAAAGCAATAGTTTAAATTAAAATCACAAGCAATGGACTACTTTTTTGATTAGAAGCTTGATTACATCTTAAAATTACAGTACAAAAATCTGCTTTTCATTTTGGAACACTTCCATAAACTTTTCTAAATTTCCACTTGACAATGAGCACTCCCCCACTCAATACAATCAGTGATAGAAACTGAAATGAAGATCTTTCTTCATAATGAATCTCTAATATTTCTTAATTTCATATGTATATATAAGGTATTAAGGGTCATTGTCCCTTTGTTCACTCATATGAAATTTTTCCTTTCAAATTAATAATTTTCAAAAAAAAAAAAGTAAATAAATGTAATAATTATAATAAAAGTACACACAGTTTTTGCATACCTTGTGGGCCAAACTTTGACAAAAATGTTTTTATTTTTATAAAATGACAATTTTATAAAGGAAGGATGAGTCATTTATCCCAGTGAGAGTTATCTCTTTCATCAGAGGGTCAGTATAAAGTTAAAGTATATCATTGAGGGACTTAGCAAGATTCCAGTTCCCCAAGGCCAAGACTATCTACTATTTCCTATTTACTATTTCCCGAGGCAAAGCTGGAATTAGCTCACTTGACTAACGCACGGGGATTAGTCCATTCTTAACGATTTCTAGGGAATTAGTCACATCTAACGATTTAATGTTATATAGGGAAAAATCAGTAGAGGTATAATAATGAACCTTAAACCTAACCAATTTTCCCTTTAATGACCTTGACCTGAACAAAATGACTTTGAACATATTTTTTTTTGGGGGGGGGGGGGGGGGGGGCTTAATGTCCATAAATGAACATTTATGAGAATGAGAATGATTTTTCTCTCATTAAAATTTACCACTAATGTATAAGTAATTAATGATTAATTTAGCTCCAGTTCTGGGATTTGAATTCCTTTTAACTGAGAGGAGATTAGCATGTGACATCACATCACTGATGGATGACAAAACCTGCAAATATTGGCAAAATCCTCTGGTCTGATAATTTTTTTTTTTAAATCATTATGCAATAAATCATCATTGAAGAGTATTTAAGTTTACATAAGTCTGTCAAGTGGGACTTCTGAAAGCGGCCTTAC